CTCTGGCAGCCCACGCGGGGCTGTCCTGAGCAGGCACACATAGTCTCTTGTGGGCTGCAAGTGGCTGCAGCACAGGGTGCTGGCCACGGAGTGGGCAAGGGGCCACTTTTCCCCTGCGCTCGGCACCAGCTTGTAACCCAGCCGTGCGCTGGCTCTGGGCAGCTGCAGCCCCCTGACTTGCCACACTGGGCAGTTTTTGCTGTTGCTGCCCCGAGCGCGAGCTCTGGGCCGGCAGCAGCAGCAAACACTGCCCTGTGTGGCAAGTGGGGGTGCTGCAGCTGCTACCCAGATGGCAGAGGCTCTGGAGCTGGGCCAGCTCCCCACTCTCCCTGCTGGTGCAGCCCAGTTCCACAGACCCCTGCCAGCCTGCGCGCTGCACTGGGCCCCACCAGTGCTGGCCCTGGGACATTGGTCCCAAGACATTGGAACATTGGTCCCAAGATGGTGACCAGGGGGCAGGGCACCTGTTAAGGGGCGGGGCTACCCATGCGGCCCTTGACAGCTTGCTAAAACTGGGTAAGCAGCCCTCTGCCCAAAATAATTGCCTGCCCCTGATATAGGAGGTACAAGTAGCAATACTTTGTAAATTAAGGGGTACATGCCAAAGTGTTTAAAAAACACTCTACTAGATCAAATCTTAGGTAAAAACTTCCTAAATCTATGAAGAACAGAACAATGAAAAAGGCTGCTTAGGGAAATTTTGGAATCTCTTTCGCTGGAGATTTAAAAGGAGAGGCTACACAAGCATCTTTTTTGGGGTGTTTTAAGAATAAAAAATCCCTGCACTTCTGTGGGCACATCTATATGTGCAATTAATGCCTAGGAAATTTAATACACAGTAAAATACTGCGCAGTAAGCTTTCCCCAGCAGAGCATCTACCTGTGCTCCCATCGGGTGCAGTTCAGTGCAGAGCTATTCCAGCCCTGCTGTGCCTCTCTCCAGCAACCAGGGGGAGCTCCAGGCTCCCCTGGGTACCAGCCCTGACTGAACCAGCAGAGGGCACCAGAGTCAGGCCCTCGTTTCTTGGAGGAGGGGGGAAACTGTCTCACCTCTGGGGCAGCTGCCTCCCAGCCCCATGCCCAATCTGCAGATTGGGGTATGGGGTTGGGAAAATACACCCTCCCACAGCTGCTGCTTCCCAGCTCCATCATGCCCCAATCAGCCAATGGGGTAGGGGGCTGGGCAAGAGTCCTCTCCCCTGCAGCTCTTTCTCAGCCCTGTGCCCTGATCAGTTGATTCCCCGCCCAGGCGGAGGCTTGCTGCTAGTTGTCCTCAGTCCTAACACTACTCAGCTCCCTGCTCCTGTGGGGAGCCAGGAGCCCCACAGTGCTGGGATGGTGGGTGCAGAGAGGGACCTGGTTCCTGTGATGATCAGCCCCTGGCTCCTGGAAGAAGAAAGAAGCTGAGCAGTGCTAGGACCAGTCCCACTGCTGGTATGGCTGACCAGGAGCAAATGTGTTCCTGGCCAGCATCTACACAAGTCCTACTGAGATGCATCTACTGTGCAGTTGGTTTAATTTAGCTAACTGCAGTAGATTAATTTACTGCGCAGCATGAATGTTGTGTGCCTCCCGAGGCTGGGGTGGGGCATGGCGACTGCCAGCAGGCGGTGGCAGTGTCAGCAGCGGGGGGGAGGGGGGTAGTGAGCACTGACCAGCGATCGGTGACCGCCCGCAGACACCGCTGGTGGTGTGGGCAGTAAGGAGCGGGTGGCAAATGACAACCACCTGCAGGTGCCGCCAGCAGCGGTCAATCTCAGGGGGTGCATGTGCACCCCCTACGCGTCACCAATGCTGTGCAGTGACTTACGAGCAAGGTTACTTGGCGATGCTTTACTGCTCAGTATATTAGCCTAATGTGCAATAAAGTATCTTGAAGGGTTGGACTAAATGACCTTCAAGATCTCTTTTAACCTTACGGTTCTAGCATATTTAATTTTAGACAAAACTCTCATTGATAAAATTGTGAATTTTGCTTTCAAGTGAGCTAAATATTTGAGTCCCATGTAGTATTGGTATATTTACAGCTTTCATCAAAACATGAACCCTATGTAAATATGCAAACATCTATTTAGTTGTGGGTAAATATTCATTCCTGAGTAACAAAATGAGAAAATTACACTTGAATGCAAAATTTAAAACCAATTAGATTATCTACAACTACACTATGCTGTGCTTCAACAGAATTCCCTTAAATTTTACTTTATTTCAGATCAAGCCTGCTACATACTGCTTCAAGCGAAGTCAGTGAAATTGCTGTCAATGACTTTAACAAGACTGATCAGCCCATAGACGGGAATAGCGCCACACTCTAGCCTATTTTACTCAAATCATGACTCCCACTCAGGAGTCTTCTATCTACCTTCTTTATGCTCATACATATATACCACTTACCTCTTTTAATTTCCTAATTGTTTCTGTCTGATCTTCGATTATTTTGGTCTTAATTTTTAGAGCGTCACTGTCACGTTCATTTTTTTTTCTCAAGCCCTCAATCTCGTTAGTTAAAACTTCAATTTTTGCTTCCAGTTTTCCACGGTCTTGGGCAAGAGAGGCTCCTGGATACAAATATCAGCATTAAAGCACTGCATATCTTGAAGTCATTTTCAAATGAAACTTAGAAAACCTAACATTTCTTGGAAGAAGGCCTGAGACCCACATAGAACAAGATACAAGCATTTAATTGTAATTAAGTAATATTTTGTAATAGTTGTAGTTTAATAATATTAAACAGTTGTCTAATCTTTTTTACTCTTATAATATATATTAAAAATAATGCTTAGAGAGCTAAGCAATATTAAAGAGCCCACAAGATGGAGCTAAGTGTGTACAAATCTATACACACAAAGTTACATGAAACAGAACAAGAAAGATGTCAAAAGAAAATATCATTTTGATTCAATATTAGTCATGTTCAAGGACACCTGCTTCTGTGATTTTCACTTTGGAGGTCACAAGATTGAAAGCAGACATTATGCAATGTGGATAAAATAAAATAAAGATGACTGCACTTTGACCCGCACTTCGGTCTTGCCTTAAGAAATGTATATTGCTTAGAACAGAAGCATTAGAGGACCATTTCTGGTCCTTCCCTGCCTGCTCTATGATAAAGCTTCTGGCCATAGGATTGAAGTTGTTTTAATATGGCAAACACTGGATTTATTTTACACAGTGAAAGCAAGATACCTATGGGGCATTCCTTGAGAGTACCATCTCTAGATGTTCTGTAAGTGATAGAGTTTGTTTTTATGAGTATCCTTTAAGCACTATTTCTCTAGGTCAGGGCTGGCCAACCCACAAGCATGTGTAGCAAAAGTGGCACAGGTAGTTGTTGCTTGTGGCACATAAGCTCTGGCACTCAGTAAAAGAAAAAAAAAAAAAAAGCACCAGAATGGAGGCAGGGGAGCTCCAACTTGGGATGGACCATGTGGAGTAAAGTGAGGGAAGCTGTCACTACCAAAAACCAGGTTAACTCTTCCCTGACCCTGTAGCCACTGCCAAATTCAGGGCTTTGGATCCTCAATCACCATTTAAAACTGCAGTGGTTGTTGGGTTAGGGAAGAGTTAACTTGACTCTTGGGGAAGTGACAACTCTGACAGCAGCATTCGACCCCTGCTCTACTCCACTACAGGTGGAGGTTTGAGCACCCCTGCTTCCATTCCAGTGCCCAAAGGCACAAACTCATCAGGTAGGACAGAGATCAGAGCAGCACTCAGGGAGGGTCAGGGCTTCCCTTGTGGCACATCAGCCACAGGTTGGCCACTGATGCTCTGGGTTCTACTCAAGTTCTTGCTTTGGCTCCAATATTGCACCAAGTCTTCTCCACCACTGGATAATACCAAATAAGAGCAGTGACACTGCCATTGCTTTTTCTCCCCACCGCAACTTGTATTAAGATATTTTAAGGATTAATCAAAAAGGGGATGGCAGGAAACAGTGAATGCAAAGGAGGCATTCACAGCTTTGGTGTCAGCTGGATGCTACAAGTGATTTTGGTAATGCCAATAAGCAGGAACCCAGTCCCAATATAGGCTATTGAAAGGAGCAGAAAAAAGCTCTCTCAAGAAGATGATGGAGATGAAATGGGGAAGGAGAGCTATGTATACCCCTTTATTCAGTCAACTGAAAGCACTACTACTACAGCATGTATACTGTGTGGGTACGACTTGTCAAAAGTCTTCAAGCTCAAACACAAGGTGCATTTATATTCAGTGGAACACACAAATAAACAAACATTCAAAGGAGAAAAGACTACTCTTAATTATTTACCCATATAGCAGCAGCCCAAGTTACTACTTTTTAATATCACAAGTCCTCTTCTGTGCTGAATAAAATATCAGGGCATTATGCTTAAATATTTCTCATCTCAGTGGGACACCAGAGTACTGATTGGTCAGTGAGGACATTCAAGTGAAACAGATCTATTTAATTGATCTTTATCTATGACCTATTATAGCACAACACAAAGACACTGAATTTTACCTTGGTGTGCCAACTCTTGTCCCCATACTTTCCTTTCCATTCTTAATCCATCAATTACAGATTCCTGGGCTGTCAGTTGAGAAATAAGTTTTGATTTTTCCTGTTTCAAGAGTTCAATTTGAACAGACTTATGTTTGTCCTCCTCAACCAAAGTCTCAAGTGTCTGGATTCTATTCTACGCACAAAATAACAACAGAATGTGTAGTTACATTATGTAAGAGAAGCATTCAGGAATTAATTACAAAACACTTTACTAGGAAATTAGTATTTACATGCATTCAATTCAGCTAATCCAGACATATACACGATATTTTCAGTTCCATGGATAGGAGACTGGTGGGAAGGCAGGGTGCCAAGCTGCTGCAACTGTGGTGCAGGCTCTCTGGGGACTGCTATTCTGGCACTCCCTCCAAATTGGTGCCTAGGGCTGGTGCCCAACTTTACCCTCCCATCATTATTATACTGAGGTAGTTTTTCAGTTTTAACTAAACATGTTTACGCTCAAGGTTTTTTCCTGATAAAAATGGTCATATTTTACTAGTCATACAGAACAGGATTTTCACATTTTATTCATATGGATATTTTCCACTGGCCTTTTGGTAAAAGATAAGATGAAGTCCATAACAGTTGGACTGTGTCTAATTTAACAGTTACAAAAGTTGGGAAGCAATCATTTATTCCTAATGTTTTAATGTGTATTTATGGTGATTAGAATTCTGTAGCCTAAACAAAATAACATAGTAGAAAAACTGTGCTACATACTAGTTAATATTTTTATGCTATGCAGTCACTTTGGACTCATTAGAAATTCACCATAATTATACTAACTTATATATTCCCAGAAGTATTCTTGTGATTATAATACAGCTACAATGTTTAAACATAATTTATGTACAGTTATTATTTACAATAACTGTTCTGCAGCTAAAATACTGTTGCCTGTCTGAGTTTACAGGCATATAAATCATATTTACAGATAATACTAAGTGCTTAGTGATACTGAGTTTCTACTAGTTCAGTGCAAATTACTAATACAAATTTATGTTATGAAGAAATAAATGACAATCTTGATTTTGGTTACTGTGGAGTTCAGAAGCCTGAAAGTGTCTCAGTAGTAAAACATGAAAATGGAGGTTGCTACGGACATTAATACTGACCTCAAAAGAGATAAAGCATGTCTTTAACTTAAATCAGAATATCTTCCTTGGGAATCTTTTAGTGTTACGATTTTTTATCTATACAAAACGTACACGACAGTTAGAATGTTTCTAAACAGATACCTTTAGTTTTCCTGCTATTTCTTGTTTTGATTGAACTACTTCTGTAATTCTTGCTTTCTGTTCTTTCACCATGGATGTTAGCTCTTGAATCAGAGTAGCTGACTGCTTTTCCTTTTGCTGAGACTGAAAAAGGACCTGCTTATATTCTGATAGCTCAGCAGCAACATTCTCAAAGCTTTCCTTAACCTATATTTATGTAAGATAAAACAAAGTAAAAACACACACACACACACACACACACACACACATATATATATAATAAAAATTAACCTTATGAAGAAAATAAAAACAATTAAAAGATTAGTCCATATATATATATTTGTGAGGCAGAAGAGAATCCAATTTAGCAGTAAACAAGTGATATCAATATCATCTATTCTTAATAAAAAATTATTATACTTGAAGTTAGTTTTCCCTTTGTCAAAGTATGAATGCATGGCTCTAAGTCATGCTAACCAAATGAAAATGTTGAAATAGGAACTCCAGAGTTAAACTAGTTAAGGTTAGTTTGGATAAATATAGATTTTTTAAAAATTATTTAAATATGTCAAATTGTATTTGTTTAAAAATAAACTTAAATAATTTAGGCTGCTGCCTATCGTATGATAATCTATTAGAATAATTTAAATTAATTAACAAAATAACATCAAGCAGTACCCATTTGCTGCCTAAAATTTAAATAAAAGGACTGACAGGCACCAAGAACCAACATTTATTGAAGCATTACCCAGACTGGACTACAAATACAGAGAAACTTTCAATTATTTGATTACTTCAGTTCAAGGACTAGTTTACTGAAAATTTAGAGCTTAGGTAGTTGAAAAAGTAGACAGCATTACCCACTCCTCCTTCCCTTAATCAGTGAATATGAGTGGTATACAACAGGACAAGATCTATCCATTCTAAAGCTGGAAGGATGTGTTGACTAGAACAGTCATAATTCATTAATTAGTGATGGTACATCCTTCGTTTATGAAATCAATTTAAAAATGCAAAATATTTTTTATTTACTCAAGTTTGTTCTTCTGTATCCAGCATATTTAAGGTAGCTTTATTTCAATAATAACAGACAATTTTAAAAAACTATATTTGTATGGGAATTGGAATACATAGAAACAGGTTAGCACAAATAATGAATAAAAAATTATCATCATGTACGTAAAAATACATTATTCACAATTTTCTAACATAAAAAGTCATCGTCAAGTACTCAATCTGAATAAATGCATTTTAAATGTGTATAGATAATAACATATCCTCCTGGTTAGCAGAAAGTGCCAAACTTTGTGCAATAGTTACATTTATTTGCAAATCAATGTTTTTATAGTTACCAATAAATGATAAATCAATTTTTCTTATAAAAATAAATTAAAAAATAAGAAACAAGTCAAAACCAAAGATTCTATAAAATAAAGGTTTACATATTAGTGATTTAAAGCACAAGTAAAACTGATTCATCCTGAATGAGGCTAACTGCTATGTTAAGATTCAAATGATTAGTTAGATAAATATGTAGAAAGAAAGAGCATAAAGAAAACTATTTTTTTTTTTTTTAAGAAAGAAAAGCTTGATACTTAATTTTAGAAGCATGACTTTTGTGTTTCTCTGGGGGTACATCTATATGTGAAATTAAGGGGAAGCAATAAACTCTGGAGCTGTTTGAACTGGAATAAACTACTCCCAGGTACAACATCTACACGTGTGCTCGCAATAGCAGCAATTTGAGCCATGGCAGAGCAGGCCCAGGCCGGCAGGGGATATGGGGGGGATGGGGGGGTCACAGCCCCAGGCTCCAGGTGGCAGCATCGGGGCTGGCCAGGGCACGAGCCTGCAGATCTGTGTGGCTAGGAAGCAGCCACGAGTCTAGCCTTCACCCATCTACATGTGTTTCAGCAGTTAATTACTTCACCATAAGACAGTAGTGTCCCTGACAGAGTTTATCTTACAGCAGAGTTCTTTAGTTTACTGCACCCGAATACCGGCACACATGTAGACAGTGATGCTTTACTGCATAGCTAATTAGTCTACTCCACAGGAAAGCACACATGTAGCCCAGGGCAATAAAGAATTTGGTTTACAAGATACTCTCAATCTTACCTCCTTAAACCTTTTTGCTTCAATAGTTAAAGCTAAACGAAATTCATTTTCTAACTCCATATACTGTTGGTTTAACACATTCATTTTCTCCTGAAATTCTTTAACACGCTGTTCATGCCTCTTTTCTTCTTTAGCCATTTGTTTTGACAGAACATCTTGAAATTCAGGTCCATTCAGAGCAACTCGGCTTTCCAGCTCTTTCCTGGAGTTAACAATCATACATACATTAAATTAAGAATTGTAGCCCTTTTCAGTGTTACTTCATTAAGTTACTATAAAAGTATCTTTAAATATAGTGAACTAAGGGTAAAGTAAGAAATATATATTAATTTACAATATTGCTCTGTTAGCCACATACATGTTTGCAACAAGAATACCAACAAGAATAATGTATGGGAAATCTGTTATACATTTCAATAAAAAAAGTCTCATTCTTTTGTTTATAACACCCCATAATTTGCCAGTGCAAGCAAAGATGCCCAGCAGATTTGCATACTGGTGTTACTAATACCAGCATTAAGGCTTTGCAATATAATACAATGCAAAAAAAAATAAAAATCTTTTGTCTATTTTCACCAAACGTTATGCTAACGGCTGGAAGCCAATTCAGGCTCCTGGCTCCCCAGTCTCTGGCTCCTGGTGCCTGAGAACCTCCAAAAAGCATGTTTTAGTCTGAGCACCCAGGTTGGTTTAAAAAGCATGGCTGTAGTCCAACTGCAGATAGGTTGTTTAAACTTCCCCCTGTGCTGGGACTTACAGACTGGAGAGAGGACTCCTCCCTCCTTCTTCCCTGTCCCACTACACACACACGGGAGCAGTAGCTATGAAGCAGGGAACTCCCCACTTCCCACTTCCATGGATGCCCAGCTCCTAACTACATGCCTGCTTTTTAAAGGTGTGGGACCCAGGAGTCTGACATCAGGGAGAGGGCTCCCCAATCTTGTTCTCTCAGCACTGTGCGCTTTTAAAAAGAGAGCACACGTTTGGAAGCCCCAACTGCATACTGCGGTGTGCATGGAACCCAGGGCCGTCCCTGGGAGGTGCGCTTTGAGGGGCCCTACGGAGCCAGGCAGAGCGGCCATAGCGACTCTGTGCTGCCTCCGGCTTCACATCCAGGTGCTCGGCACCCCCTTACCTTGCTGCTGAATCAGCTTCCAGCTTCCTTGCATCCAGGGCCAGGGCCCCGTACAGGCTGATTTGCCCCGGGCCCTGCACCCTGCTTGGGTTGTCTCTGCATGAAACTGCCCATGAAAGCAGCAGCTGTGGTGCAGGGGTTCCTCACTTCCCAGCTGCATGTGCAGTTTCAGACCACCTTATCCTGCAGCCTGCGTACTGGCTGCAGGGCAAGGCAGGAATCCTGCCCACAATGGGGAGTCCCACATGCTGGCAGTCTCACAATGGGGGGTTTGAGAAAATGTCTGGCATGGCAGGTTGTGCAATTCTGGGTACAGGACATAACCAGGGTGGATAAAAATCAATGATTTTTGTTTAAATATAAAAAAAAATTGGGTGTTTTTATTTAAATCAGATTTTTTATTTAATTGTATTTTTTTTGTTAAGATGCTTTAAAAACAAAACAAAACAAAAACTACATACAGATAGTTTTAATTTAAGATATGTTAAAGCTCAAAGATACCATCTTGGAATAGGGATTATAACTTCAAATAATATATTATTTGAGACAATATATTCATGTAACCTTTTTATAAATAGGTCACAACTATATTAGGAGCCCAATCTCATGGGGTTCCCAGAGGCTCCTCTATAGATTAGTAAAGATTAAAGAAAACCATTCTACCCAGTGGGACTCAGTGCTCAGTTTAGATCCCATTAAGCATCTTTGTGATGCTTAGTTTCAGTTCTCAAACTGTAGATTTCTGTTTCCAGAGATAACATCCTTGTTAACAGCAGTATATGGAGATGAGAGATAAAAGACCTAAATACCAGCAATCCTAGTTTTCCATTCACCACAGAAAAGTGTGGATTTTAAGGAGAAAAGTGTTGGTCTTTTCTTTTTAGGAAGAAAAATATGTAGATTTTCTCCTTCAAAGGAGAAAAAAAATGAGAAACAACAGGTTTTCCCTTTGCAGGCTGGCAGAGTTCCAGCCTGCCAAGGGCTAAGGGGAGTGGGAGGAGAGTGATCAGGTGGGGGGTGCCATGTGTATTGTGGCGCAGGACTTCTGGTGGCGGCACTGAGCCTCCCCACCCTGCTCTGCCCTGCCATGCTGGGTCCTGCCCACTGGACTGCAGAAGCCCCCAGGGGGAGGACAGCAGGGTGGGGAACCCCCAAGCTTGCTCCATGTGCCACCCATGGGGGAAGGGGAGCCAGGCCCTGAGCTTTGCTCTGGCAGCAGCAGGTGGCAGCTGGGGCTCAGGAGCTGATGCAGAGGAGGGGAGCGGGGCTGCAGGCCCAGGTCCTTGGCTCTGTAGCCCTGGCAGCTGGGGCTCCCCTCCGGCAGGGCCAGGGGTTGGGAATGAGGAGCTCCAGTAAGGCTGGGGGTCTGTGGCTTGGGACTGAGAGGCAATGGCATGGGCAGGCCACTGGCATATCAGGGCTGCTCAGTACCACAAAGCAGTAAGGGGGAGAGCCACAGCTAAACCTGTGTCTTGGTGAGTGAAGGGGGCAGGTTGAGCTTTGATTTTCCATGAAGAAAAACTCAAAATCAAATGCCAAAATTTGCAGGCATTTAAAATTTATCTTTGTCCCAGGGACGCAGGAGCGGGCAAGGGGGAAGCTTCATCCAGAGGCAGACCCCAGGTAAAAATAAAAGAAGGAAAAAACCTACCTGTTGCAGGGGTCCAGAGAAGTGAGGAGGTGCGCCAGGGAAAACAGGCTGAGCGGTTTATCAGCCCCGCCCATCTCATAAAGAGACGTCACCTGGCGAAGATAAAAACTGGCCCCGAGAGAGTGGGAAAGAGGATGCCGAGTGCCGGAGGAGTGGCGGGGGACTGCCGGGGGGGGGGGGTCCCGCCGCCAGCGGCGGCAGCAGCAGGAGCTGCGGGAGATCTCCGCACTGGGGAAGACCGGTGGGGATCAAAGAAGCTGGCAGTGAGGCTGGCAGCAGTGGCGGCAGCAGGAGCTGTAGGAGATCCCCGCACCATGGCAAGAGTCGGTGAGGGAGTTCCTGTCGAAGGCAGCGGGTGCTGTGATCCCAGGGCGGAGGCGGATCCCGGAGGGGATAAGAGAAACCCTGGCTGGGGTGAAGGCACGGGTCCTGACCCAGGGGACGTGTTAGTCTAGGGGCATTAGGGGCGAAGGGGGCACGGGACTCTCCCCTTGGTTGCTCCTCTTCTCTTTGTCTCGTTCCTCTTGTAGTTGTGTCTTTAATTGCTTTTTCTTTCATATCAGGGTGTTCCCGTGGCGTGGGGTTTTCCGGTGGTGAGTGTTCTATGTTTTTCTTTCTTAGTCTGATCTATTTTAATTCCCTGCCTAGAGCAGGTTAGCCTAGCACACCACAGCAGGTTTGGGGAATTAGAGACCCCATTTGGAGATGAAAGACCACGTGAGAATATGGCAGCGACCAACAGCATCCGTCGTAGGATGCGTAGGGCATTGAGAGGGACAACTCCGAAGGCGGAGTGTCACCAGACCCTCCGGGTCTGGCCAGAGCCTGAGGCGCCCATCCGTGAGAAAGGACACGTGGGAAATGAGGAAGACATCAACAGGGGCTAGCCGCAAAAGATCCTGAGGCTCGTCTCGTAGGTTGGCGTGTGGCCGGGGTATAGGAGAGGTTGGAGCCCCATGAACATCTGCCAGGACATGTGACAACTCTGGAGGCATCCTCAGAGGGGACCCCCTTCACTGAAAGACCATCCAAAGTCGTGGCAGATGAGTTTGGGGGATATCCCAAAGGTAATCGAGGAACCCTCTGGGGTCTACATGAGGTTCCTTGGCGAGCAAGACCAGCTGCCTGGGCAAAGGTGGTGCAGGATTGAATCATCGAGCGGAGACGGGAATAATCTTATTATAGTGATTGAGGCACTGGTAGGCTTTGGACATGCTTTAAACTTACGTAAACTTATTGTAAACTTATGAATAAAACATTGTATTCAAATGATGCCTATAGAAATTGTGGGGTTTCATTTTAATCATGGAAAAACATGTACTTTGTGCTTTTTAATCAGAAAACCTGTTTTCATCAGAGAATTCGTGATTATTAAACAAAGAAAACCAGAATTCTTGCTAATTACCTACCCACCGGCCCTACTGTCTCTCTGCAAGTTTGTGTACACAGGTCAAGCCCTTACCTCTCTCTAGAAGTGCAGTTTCAAGAAGTTAAATGAATAGAGAATTGTTGGGGTTGGAGTAGATTTGGGCAAGGATGAGGAGTCTGGTGATAAATGCAAGGAGGGAGGGGCAGAAGAAATAAAAGAGAAACATTTTGAGTAGAATATTCCAGAAGTCTTGAGGGATAAGTTTCTGAATATAGTCTCTCCACTGATTTGCAATCTAGTGAGGGAATGGTATGGTAGAAGGGAAAACCCACCATGACAGCAGGCTTGCCAGGCCGTAAGAGACCCTGTTTGGCAATATTTTAATGAAGTTCTTCTACCTGTGGGTAAGACACACGTGTGAAAAATGCAAACAGCGCAACAAAGAAATGCAAGGCCTGGTTGCCAGAATGAAACATCATGAGAAGTCCTCCTTATCAGAAGGAAGCTGCTTTGAAGATGAATGGAACATGTCTGCACATGCAGGATCTCCAGGTTAGTAAACTTTTTTATTTCATACTTGTTTCTTAAAGGCTACCTGTCTTCCCTATCCCTATCTTTTAGGTAGACTTCTGGACTACCTGAATTCTCATAAAAATGTTTGAGCAAAAATATAGTTGTTACTTTATGGAACTACCATATTTTAATGCAGTTGTGATATAAATTAATGGCTGAAATTGGCAGATTTTCCTTTTACAGTGTCACTTCTAAAGTAGTATTAAGTGCAATGAGCATACTAAATAAGCAGTACTGTAGTGACTGCATTGACTTCTTTTGTTCAGGAGGATCCATCCTCAACATATAGGATTCTGACTATCCGTCTTCAACATCATCACCACTGTCTACACTTTTAGAGTTATTTGCTAATGATACCAGTGTTCCAGTCAAATGTCACATAATATATTACCTGTTGCAGAAAGAAAAAAAAAATCTCTATCATTCAGAAACAACCATAGATAAGTTTGTAATAAGAACCAGCCGATTACAGCAAGAGGTAATTGATGAAAACATTGCTCAGTTTGTTTATGCAACAAACTCTCCTTTCTGTATGGTTGAGAACACACACTTCATTGACCTGGTTTAGTCATTACGACCAGGATACATTCCAAAAGAGCAGATATAGCAGGCAAATTGCTGGATAAAGTATACAAGAAAGAAACTGAACAGTGTGCAAAAAAACTAGAGGGGAAAATTGTTAACTCGAGTCTTGATGAGTGAAGCAATGTCCACAATGACCCAGTAATATGTGCTCATGTGACAACAGAAGGGACTGTCTACTTTACAGAAACAACTGATACATGAGAAAATGCACACACAGCAGAATACTTACAAGAAGCAGCAGTAAAAGCTATAACAAACTGAAAAAAATTCAAATGTCTAGTACGCAGCTGTCACAGACAATGCTGCAAATATATCAAAGATAAGAAATGTAGAAGAAAGTGAAGAAAGCCCCAAGCAAATAACATATGGCTGCAACAGTCATTTGATGCACCTCTTAGCCAGAGACTTCAGTGCTCCAGAAATAAGGGCTAATGTTGAAATTGCAAAATACTTCCGTAAGAATCACTTTGCAGCAGCTGCACTGAAGAAAGCAAGAAGAACCAAACTATCTCTACCACAAGACGTGTGACGGAACTCAGTAGTAGACTGTTTTGAGCGATATATTGAGAACTGACCTAATCTGATGACAATTTGTGAACAAAACTGTGCCAAAATAGATGGAATTGTCGTAACCAAAGTTCTCAACATTGGGCTAAAAAGAAATGTAGAATGTATGCTGAATATTGTGAAGCCTATTTCTGTAGCCTTGAACAAAGTGCAGGGAAGTCACTGTTTTACTGCTGATGCTATTGAAATTTGGAAGGAACTAAAGGAGACCTTGGAAAAGAGAAATACTCAACGACAGAGTTAAATTACAGGCATTAAAAAAAATGAATGGATCAAGCACTATTCTCCAGCTCATTTTCTTGCCAATATTCTCAATACTCAGTACCAGGGTCAATCCTTAACTGCTGAAGAGGAGGAGCTGGCTGTGACACGGGCATCCAGCAGTCATTCCTCCATAATAAAACTATAATCAATTTCAGGGCTAAAAGTGAACCATTCAAGATTACTGATAAGCAATCAGTAACCAAATAACCAAATCATAATTCAGTTTTCTGATGTAGCTGCAAAATTAATCTGAAAAAAATATCAACATAAATCACTGCTTTAAAATGTAGGTTCCCTCAAAAGCTTGCCCAAATACAACTGTCAAAAACTCCCATTTCTGTTAGAGTTTATCTTGAAGTATGATGCTGTAGGATGCTGGCTAACTTTTTATATATTTTGCAGGATGAAATATAGTCTATATAACTCATACACTTTACATTTTAATACACTTTCATTCAAGGAAGGAATATCAGGTACTTTTATTCAAATGTTTTAAATATATTGAATAACGCAAGTCCTAGACTTATAGAATACATCAACCAAACTAAATTCATCTACTCTAAAGGGTGAAAGTTGTGGCAAGACATTTCACTCTTAACACACTGGTCACAAACAGGCATTCACTGCTAGCAGCGATTAACATTTTCCAGGCAGGAGAGGTAGTGTATAGGTGTTCAGCTGGTAGCTGCTCCCTTTCCCTGCTCTCTGCACCTTTCCCAGACCAGGGTAATCCTGGTCTGGGAAAGGTGTGGGGAGCACTGGCTGCTCCACTTTTCCCAGTGCCCAATAGGACTGGAGCTGCAGGGAAAGACTCCCCATGCCTTCCCCACACCAGGATCTGGGAAATGGTTGGGGAGCAGCTTCTCAGTCTCCAGGAGCAGACCAGAGGGACTAGCAAGGCAAAACCCCAGCATTTTCCTCAAACCAGGCAGTACCCAATTTGGGGAAGAGGCAGAGAGTAACAACGGTTACTCCCAGACTGAAGTAATTCTGTAGAGGCTGTAAGGGGGTTGTCTAGGTTGCTGGCTCCCAGAGGAGGGATTTTTCCTGGAGGAGAAACCTGATGAACAGAAACCTGATGAATGCCTGTACGCTTGTGGCTTCTATCGAGACAGTGGCAACGTTCTCAGTACAAACATAATGCCTGTAAGTAGCCCTAGTTTGGAGCTGATGGGGAGACAAGGTTAGAAGACATGCAATTTTAACAAGAGTGCAGTCTTTTCAAAACAATCCTGTTCCTTTTCATGAGTAATTTGGCTCACATTCCAACTGTCGAAGAACACTGTCAAACAAATAAAACTTCTCTAGGTTTTGCAGTATCACATATAACTTGGAATATTGTAAAGGAACATACCTGTGCTCTTGCTCTCTTAATGAAAGAAGCTCATGTAACTGTTGCACCTTTTCTTTTTGTTGTCGGAGAGCTATGCGAAGTAACTGTACCTCTCTCTCACTTGCTGAAGCTTTAAGTTCTATCTCCTGAATCCGCTTCATCTAGGCAAGATCAGAAGAACAAATCTTAAAACTGGTGTTTAGTCCTCAAGGTTTGGATTAGGATAAGACTAACAACTACAATAACAGCCTTGTTCAAAGTTGTATATTTGTTCTCTCTGGGGAAAACACAAGGATTGTTTGAGTATTTTCATTAAAAAACCCCATGATTTTTATCACTATCCAGGCCAATGCAGAGCAAGATTTCTCTGTAAAATCCTACAATTTGGGGATTTGCGTGTCTGGATTTTCAAATCTAGAGCATGTGTCCTACTTTATAGAAGGGAAAAGAATAAAATCCAATGACACTTCCCCATGTGTACTGATTTTTGTTTTGTATTTTCTAGATTTGATGTGCTTTAGAAAACTAATTATTGGGGATGGGGGGCGGGACAAGGAGCAGGGACATAAAGCCCATTTTTTCTAGTAATCGGCAAGTTCCATCATTAGTAGATACTATTATGAAATTCTGTGTCTCAGTGGCAAGAAATTACTAAGTACATGTTTCTTATGACATAATCAAGCTGTATTAGAGTACCTTCAATTTTTAAAGACGAGGCATATAATAAGATATGCATTTCATGGTAATGTTATGATCAGGAAGTCAGACTACTGATGTTTAACTGGTAATTAGTGATTATACACTCTTTAGATGCCTTTCCACAATTAATACTAAAAACATACCTCTGTTGCTTGGTGTTGTACTCTTTGTGTTTCCACTTTGGATAATGTTTCTTCTAAGGTCTGTAGGGCCTTTTGTTGTTGTTGTTCTTTATTTCTTGCAAGATTTAACTCATTAGTAAGTCTTTCAAGCTCATCCTTCAATTGCTGGACATCAGCCTGCAATTTTGTTTTTGTACTTCTTTCCCTCAACATCAGTTCTTTTAACCTACACATTAATGGAATAACATCAGTGCTTTCCCCTCTTTTAATTATACTTATTGAATAGGTTATCCCAAAACAATTTTAATGAATTCATCAAGGATCTAAATTAGCATTTTTTAAGTAAAGCATGTTAAACAGGGATCATTGTGGTAAAAATATGTTTCTGTACATTAAAAAAGATACACAGATACAATTGTCTGTAGGTTTTGGTGCTTCCAGCTTAAGAAATAAACTATTAACCTGAAGGCAACCCAGGCCCTGAAAAGTGTTACTTTCAATCTGAACTACGTCTTACTCTATTTAATATTGGTTGCTATTTAGAACAAGTTTGTTATTGTCAATTAATACAGTAGGAAATCATTTTTTAAAGTATTGATATGAATTTGCCTTTTCTTTTGTTAAACCTGAAAAAAATTTGAATAAGCTCTCTCAGAAATATTAAAGGCATTTTAGGCAAATTTATACCAGAATGATAACCTAACTAGAGGTAGGGAGTGCTCTTGGAGCCAAAAGAAAGATAGAAAACTATTTTAGAACAAATACAGATAACCCAACTGAAGAAAGTACCAAGAAGATTTCCTATCAAGCACAGAAATGTGTCTACAATACAGAAGAGTCCACCTAGCCAGAGCCAAACAACTATGGAAGAGTACTTTCCCATGATCTTTGATAGCATTTAAGATTCCAGTAGGAAACAAATATCAAAAAGAGAAGAAGAAAATTCCATCAATAAACCCTAAAGACAGACCTAGCTTAGACCCTATTTTAACCATTTACTCTGAAGTAGTAGGGAAGTGTTATTTGGTCTGGGAGGAAAGAATCAAACCTGTGTAGCTCATTAAGGACCTCAGACTCCATATGAAGCCAAGAAAAAACAAAGAAATATACTTTCAAAGTAGCAGGGAGGAATTCTGCTATCCAACAGCAAAGCAAGTCCTAGGATGCTTTCCCTATGCAACATTTTTCAAGTTTGTTGAGGTAAATGAACACTTGTGAGTTAATGCTATTTCTTTTAAACTATCAAATGCTGTGCTTTTACCTATCAGTAGTATGCACTGCTATACTTTGAACATTCTTTTCTTCTTTTGCTTGTTTCTGCAGTTCTTTGACATAGTCTCTCAATTTCTTTTCAGCTTGTTCAGCTTTCCACCTTCTCTCTTTCTCCTGATCCAGTTCTTGAACAAGAGCCTGAAGAAAAATACATTAAACCTCCAACACTGACATTTTTCAGTATAACCAAAGGTCCAAAAAAAATTACAGTAATAGTTTTACAGAGTGATTGTGTGAATCTTTGGGGACCTGATGGAAAACAAGGGCAAGTAGAATAGCATAGGCAACACATGGGAGGGGCACAGAGGGGCACGCATCACCCCAACAGGGCCGCCGCTGGTGGCATCAACAGGTGCTCGACATCCTCCCCCTGCAGTGACGTACTGCCGGGGGGCAGGAGTGGAGGAAGGGTTGGTTGCGCAGCGGCACTTTCAGTTCCGTCACTGGCACTTCTGGGCTCAGCGATCAGCCACCGGGGGGACCCCCCTCCCCACACTGGCTCTGCGATCGGCCACGGGGAATGCCTGCCCCGCCCCCCGATTCAGGAGGCACCAGTCGCCTATGTAGAAGACAATATAGCTTTGCCACCCAGAAGCATCACCTTTACCTATTACACGCAGGAAAACTTAACTGGATCAACTGGCAGCTGGTTAACTTAAGCAAAGGGTTACGGCTTTGCTTCTTCTAGTCTTCATCTATGTGTACACAAATTTAGATCAACATATTTATTGGTATAGGTGATCATTAATGTTTGGTTATAAAACTATTTTTGATGGGGGGTTTTAAATACAAAACTCCTTATTTTTATAATAGTTAAAATGATCCCACACAAATTCACTTCCAAAACATTCCTTGGATAAAGTGTGTACCCATACTTGCTCTATTGCAGGTGAACACTGCATATTCTTGTTTAATTCAAGTTAAGACATACTCTGTAAGTGGATTCTTCTGTAGCACTTGGGTTTGCATCTTCCACTTTTTTTATTTGATCCTGTCCTCCCATCAACATTCTGGCCGATTTTCCTATTACTTCCAAATCTGGTGTTTCTGAAGCTGAATTTACATGCGAGTCTTCTTCTGTTTGAGAGTTGGGACACTTTGATTTTAAGAAACTCTTTTCCTCTCTGAAACAGCAATAAAAGCCCGTCAACGCTTAATTAAAAAATACTCTCTTAAATGTTTCTCTACACACTAGCATCAGTAAGTATCTGAAACTCTTTTATCATATGAAAAAAATTCCAAATATTAGAACTTGGAAGAGTTAATGATAATCAAATTGAGCATTTGAGTTATTCAGGAAAATAACATACAACAGAGTAGAAATTAAATTAAAAAAATCATTAGAATAGCAACAGTAAAAATAAGCAGTTCCATAGGTGTGCCGTTTTGAAAATCATCTAAGTGTCCTAGAGAAAACTATATAATTATTTAAATGTACAAGTAGAATTTCAGTAGTTTGACTTTAAGGTCACAACATTGATATTAAGTACCTCTAAATCTCCCTTTCAATACTTACAAGTTAGCACATAACTGAAGACAAAGACATTGTTAAAACATCCAAAAGTATGATCATCAAATAGGAATAAGTCACTAAAGATTATTATTTCAGATCAATGCCTGTTTTCACAGAACAGATCACAAGAAAGTAGGGCTAGAAGGGACCTCATTAAGTCATCTAGTTCAGCCCCCAACTCAAGGCAGGATCTTCCCTGACTAAACCATCCCAGCCAAGAGGCTATCCAACCTCTTGAAAACTTTCAAGGATAGAGATTCCACAACTTCTCCAGGTAGCCTGATAACCCTCACACACAGAAAGTTCCTCCTAATCTCCAACCTAAACTTCCTCTATTGCAGCTTGAAGTCTTTGCTCCTAGTTCTGTCTCCTACTGCCAGAAAAAACACCATCTTCATCCTCTCTATAATCACCCTTCAGGTATCAAATCCCCCCTCAGTCTTCTCTTTTCCCAGCTAAATAACTGTAGTTCCTTTAGTCTTTCCTTATAAGTTATTCTTCCCAGGCTTCTAATCATTTTTATCATCCTCTGCTGGAATTTTTCCAAACTGTCCACATCCTTCTTGAAGAGTGGGGCCCAAAATTGAACACAGTCCTCTAGGTGAGGGCTCACTAGTGCTGAATAGAGTAAAAGAATCACTTTCCTTGATTTGCAAGATACACTCTATCCAGAATGGTGTTAGCTTTTTTTTGGTGGAATAAGAGTACACTGTTGTCTCAAATTCTGCTTATGGTCTACCATAACCCCCAGGTCCTTCTCTGCAATACTGCAGCTTATTCAAACTGTGAAATGATTGGCTATGTTCAAGCAAGTGTTTTGTCTCAAGTGGAGGATTTTGTACTTCTTGCTGAATTTCATCCAATTGACTGTGGATCCTTCCTCTAGTCTATCGAGGTTATTTGAGATCCTAGCCCTGCTCTCCAGAGTGTCTGCAACTCCACCTAACTTTATGTCATCCACAAATTTGCTAAATGTGCATTAATTCAATCCCATCTTCTAAATCATTAATGAAGACATTAGACAATACCAGACCCAAGACAGACCTCTGGGGAGTTTCATTTAATACCTCCTCCCAACTAGACACTGAGCCATTCATGATGGCTTGTTAAGCAAGACGATCGAACCAGTTTTGTATCTGCCTTACAATACACTTTCATTTAGTCTGTATTTCCTTAGCTTGTTAAATGAGAATGTCATTGTCATGGGAGATGGTATCAAAAGTTCTGCTAAAGTCAAAGTGTATCCCATTCACTGCTCTCCCCACAGGCACAAAGCTTGTCATCTTATCATAGAAGGAAATTAGGTTGGTCAGGCATAACTTTCTCTTGGTGACTCCATGCTGGCTGATCACCTTGACCTCCTCTAGGTACTTCACAATAAATTCCTTAAGGACTTGCTTTATCATCTTTCTTGGTATCGAGGTCAAACTGACTAGTCTGCAGTTCCCTGGATCCTTCTTCCCCCTCTTAAAGATGGACACTATTGTTTACTGTTTTTCAGTCATCCAGGACCTCACCAACCTCAGGAGTTCTCAAGGAGGATAGCCAATGGCTCTGATATTACCTCAGCCAATTCCTTCAATTCCCTGAGATGGAACCTATCTGGCCCTGCTGACTTGCAGGCATCTAGCTTTTAAAAGTAATCTCTAACTTGTTCTTCAACTACTCTAATCTGTACTTCTCCTTCCCCATCTTTGCTGCCAACTGCACCCATCATCTGGTAGCTATCCCTATTTGTGAAGGCCGAAGTGAAAAAAGGCATTAAATATCTTAGACTTCTTTTCTTCATCCACAACTGGATTGCCTTCTGCATTCCATAAGGGACCGATGGTTTCTTTGGTCTTCATCTTACTTTTGACATACTGGTAGAATTTTTTTTTTTAAATCACCTTTTACGTCCCTTGCCAATTATATCTCAAGTTATACCTTGGCCTTCCTAATTTTCTCCCTACATTCTCAGATACTTATATAATCTTCTCTAGTTTTCACTTCTTGAAGGATTCCTTTTTGACTTTTTAAATCAAAGTAATGTTCTAATCTCTACTTAAAGTCATAAACAATATACAGCGCAATTCTGCCCCCCAGTTTAGCATGAGGTTAGAAGCACACTTTTGGAATTCTACTAAGCATGTCAGATTTTTAGTCTGCACCTTTATTTCTGGATGTTTTTTCTACTTAAATAAATAAATAAAATGGATTGCTCTAATTTAAGGCAGGACATGCCCTTTCATTAGGGACTGACTTAATTTGTGTTTTTGTAGATTTCACAGAAGCTAGAAAATCCCATTGTCCGCAAAATCTGCAAAAAAACAACAACAAAAAAATGCTGCTCCCCAGTAGGAGCCAGTGGTCCTTGCTGCCAGGAGGGGAAGGTGCTGGCTGGTGGGGTAGCACAAAGAGCAGACGACAAGCTGACCCCTCATCCTTCCTCCCCCTGTGGAGCTTGTCTGCCAATCAGTGCTGAAGGGTGGGGCTTCATGAAGGACAGCCAGCAGCCAAGATGGCAGCCACCCTCTTGTCCCTCTCCCTCTCTGCCAATCAATGCCAAGGGACAAGGCCTTTCTTCCAATCAGTGCTGAGGGGCAGAGCTACCACAAATTTAGAGCTTTAGGCCACAATCAACCCATGAAAGTTAGTAAGTTCCCCTGCAATTTAGGTAGACCCCCACCTATAGAAAATATTTAAACTAGTGGTGGAAGAAGTTCAAATAAGAATTTCAAAATCCAGATTTTAAAAACTTTCATGTGAACTTTGTATCCTCTTCCCATTCTTTTATCTATCTTCCATAGCCACCCCCTTGAAGGAGAGCTAGGTTTTCTAGGCCTTCCTCAGTCCAAGTTGATACAAACCCATCTTTCCCACTTCTATAAGTGGGCCCAAGCAGGCAGGCTATGGATTTGACTCTCATATTGGGTAAAGTAGCCTCTCCCACTCCTTCTCTTCCTTTCTCACTGAAGAATTTTTCTTTCATGTAATTTTTGAGCTGTTAGGCTTCATAGAAAATAACCTTTAACTAAAAATGTTGGTTCATAAATTCTGCAATGGATTTAGATAATCAAGCAGAAAAGTAATCCAACAGATTTAAACAATTTACTAAACTTTAAAAAAAGTTGATTTAAAACAAAATGGAGCATATAAAGCAGCCTAAGTTGGGTGTCCCCACCCCTCCTTTTTTGGATGTCTATCAATCTGCCAAAATAAAATAACTTCAGTACATAAAAGGATTTGATTAAAGGAAAAAAAAGCAATTTATATTGAAAATATTACTTTCATAGCTATTTTACAACGGATTTTTTTTTACACTGGGAATAAAAAGATACACTGTCATATTCCAACATTTCTTTCCATACAGATTTCTGCAATGGAATTCCAATATTCACTGGTTTGTGCTGCAAGGAATTAAGACAAATTTAAATCTGGTTAAGCTGCTATGTCATGATGCTAAAAACTGTCACAGAGTACAAATCCCTTTTTCTGAATGATCTGTAGATTTTAAAACAGAAATTGTGATAATTTTTTCTGATATTTTACAGAAAACAAAGAAACTCAACCAATCCGTGCTATCTGGTTGAGGCTGAATACCTTTTAGGAAATAGATACATTCTTGTGACAATCATTTAGCCTAATTTCTTACAAAGAGTAAAGAACCTCAACCAACAATTTCTGCACAGTTAAAACTGTGATACATTTTTAATGTGGGATCACTATCTTCAACAAGCAGGGGAAAAAAAAGCAGACTGGCTAAGCAGGCAAGAGCGTTCATTAGCTCTGGAAGTTTATTTGCAATTCTATAAATCCAGTGGCCCACATTCCTTTCCCAGAAATGGAGTGCTTACTGGCATAGTGAAAATGATCTGGACTATTCTTGCCTCCTAACATAAAATATATAATATTGTCCATCATCACCAGCAGGGCTTTTCTGTGAACTAAAGGCAAGACGTATGTGATTCATGCAAGCTGAATTGCTCACTGAAACTGCAAATGAGCTCCTTCTTGACTAGACGCATCTGTCACCAGGGCTTATCACAGTTCAGGAGATTCAAAAATAAATTTTAAATACAGGAATTGGATCTTTCCACCACTGAAAGGAAAGTGGTATATATTGAGTCTATGTGCTCCTTCATCTGATTGCAAATTTGCTTCTGCCAGCATCGCAAATAGTGAAAAGCAAAAAATGTGCATGATACTATGGCCCCAGAAATCTTAGGCTGGGTTTACAGAAGTTTTGTGTTGCAATGGGATTGAAAAAGATTTCTCCTTGCTTACCCTTAAAGAATTAAAATGTGTCTCATGACTTGTCATAAAGAAGAACTTTAGACTGGCCAGTTGTTTGCACATACATGAACTCAAATGATTAGGGTCCTATTTAAATCATGGTTTTGTGATTTTCACATAAAACCGCAAAAACCCCCCAGTGTTTCCAGCAATTTTGTGTGGAATTATGGAGGAAAAAAAAAAAGCTTACCAGAATACAAAGAAAGCGCAGAAAAGGAAAAAAAAAAAGCTTACCAGAATACAAAGAGAGCGCAGAAACCCCTGCAGCCATAGAGCACGTGTTTTGAGAGAGAGCTAGTGAGAAGCTAAGCTAGTGACATGGACTCAGAGAAAGGGCAGTCAGGAAAGTGAAAGGGTTTTGGCACCATCCTTTAAGAAGCCAGATGTAATCATGCAGCAATGCTACCGTCTGAAGATGATGAGTGAAAAGAAATCCAAGAAAGCTAAACGCTAGGAATGTACGAAGCTTCGGTCTCTGATTCAGTGGAGATTCAGCCCGATTTGGTGGCTGAATCTCCGAACCGAATCAGGAGACCCTTTAGTTTAGGGGTGGGCAAAATGCGGCCCACCAGGCCATTCTATCCAGCCCGTGGGGCCCCTAAAATTTTAGAAAATTAATATTTATCTGCCCCTGACTGCCTGTCATGTGGCCCTTGATGGCTTGCTAAAACTCAGTAAGAGGCCCTCCACCCAAAATAATTGCCCGCCCCTACTTTATTCTCTCCGAATTGAATTGGAACCCTCCAAATCGATTTGGAGAGATTCAATGGTTTGGACATAGACACAACTTTAAACGTTTCTTCTACATTCCTTAAGGTACGAGGCAGCTCATGAACACCGAGATGGCGGGGCAGATGGAGCATCCTATGGGAGCACGGGGGGGTCCCCAGTGTGTTCGGCGGTGGACCCGGAAGTGGACCAGAAGCACTTTCAGTCCAGTTCCAGGTCTCC